CTACCGTCCTGCACTGTCGCGGTTCGAATCCCACTGAGGGTGTTGATAAGACCAATGCGAGGTCGAAACTTAAGTCCACCAAGGATGAGAACAACTTTTGGGAAAGCAAGGCTATGTGAGTTTCAAGGACGGTCAGGCCTCTGCTATATCATAATCTTTTGGTGGGAGTGCCGATGAAGCCAACGTATGTTTGCTATAGCAATCGACAACGCTACTTATATTCGTAAAAGAGTAGGGTTTCGAGACTACCAGTTACTGGTAGTCTCGAAACCCTACTCACTTACAAAGTATACTAAACCAAGAGGTAAGTTAATTGGCTGCGACCCTAGTCGCTTTTTCATACACCTAACTTCGCAATCCTAATGAGGCATCTCATGATTTGGTTGGCCTCTTCAACCTTACTCTACATGTTTGCAAATGAGTAAACTTACTTCATGAACCGGAAGTGCGTTTAAAGGCAGCTGTCTCATTGCGTAACTAAACTGGCGCATGATCATCTAATGTTGACTCATGTTTTATTTTTGGGAAATTATCTTTTGTGTGCATGTCATGGGAAAAATGATAGTTTAGGCTAGACTCGAGGCTAATCCAGCATCCTCTTGTTTAGTAGTTCTTCCTGCTCTCTCTCTCCTTGAACCTATCCGACAGCTATAAATAGTTCCGAATCAATTTTCTACACTCTTTTCTCTTATCTAGACCGTTGGCTGTTTTGTCAATCTCTGTAGACTTCACTCAACTGCAAGTATATAAAGTAAGTTTGAGATAGTCAACCAAATCATGTGATACCTCATTAAGATCGCAACGCCAGGTGTATAGAAAGCGTTTAGGGTTATAGCCGGCCACCTCTTCTATTGGCTTGATATATTTTTGCTCTATTTCATAAAGTATGGATTCTTGCTCTGAAGATGTATCATGGCGGTACAGGCGAAAGCTTAGCGGAGGTTCTTCGAGGTCGCAGGACGGTGAGCCGAAGACTTCTTCGCACAATTCAATAGTCTTCCTTAAGTGGCAATCTGGCTTCAGTTTCCGGTGAGACCACATCACGAATTTCTTCAAATCAACTCTTTCTTCAAAACGGAAAGTCATGTCACAACATATCAGCAAGAATTATTAGAAACCCAGTTTTATTTCATATATATTCAAAGTGTCAGGTAAATAAGGCTGTTCAAAACTATTTTTTGTCAAATCACTGAGGATTTAATTAATAGAATGAATAAATGGAATTTGATGAAAAAGTAAAGCAAATATTCACCCAAAAAATAGTAAGCGAGATAATTTTATCGGCAAAATATAGTAAGTAAATGTACTCAAACAGTCACAACACTTGCCCATACCATGAAATTCCAACCTCGCTCTATGCTTGCCCGAAGAAAGGCAATAAAACCCTAATAAAGTAGCCTTACTTTCATCTATCCAACATATATTAAATATTAATATATTTAGAAACTATCATTAATTCTTGGGAAAGAACATTGTCAGGCGAGGTTGCCTAATAGGAGTTTTCCCAGAATGCTATAAGTAGGTCCCAGAAAGCCATTCAACTTAACAAAGACTTGCCTCTCAGAAGAATTTCTCATCTCGAATGGAAACCCGTTGGCCTCTCAGCTATACAACCGATCAACCACACAACCATGAATGCTATTGGGTCACAGGACAGATTGGCCATGCCTCTACTAATCACATTCGATATTGCCAACGAAGCAAAGATGCATTTCAATTTTAATCGCCAGCACTACTTATTTTTAATGTGAGTATGTTTCGCGATCCCTCTTCGGCCTCGGGTAAGGTACTCAAACATCAAACAGTCAAGGAATTCTTCGAAAAGGAGTTTTTCTAAAGAATGCAGAGTAACCTTTCGAGAGTATCTGTACAAGATACCTTCAGTATCAACGTCTCTGCTTATATACGCAAACCGAGGTCCGAGACTTGAGGAGACAGGTTCCTAAATACCCATCCGGGGAGATTTCACTTGATGTACAATCATGCTACAGAGAAAAATCGTGGGCCTTCGAAGTTTCCTGTGCGTTTTAGCGAAATCCTCAGCGATATGTGACAGGAATGTAGCCAAACTTGCGTTGTTCAAACTGGGTTTAAAAAAACGAATATTTAGGTACAAAGTAGATTTTAGAACTCTTAAATATTTTGAGATTTAAAACTTTTATA